ACTCAGTGACACCCTATCTCTAAATAAAATACAAAATAGGGCTAGGGATGTGGCTCATGGTTCAGTACTCCTGAGCTCAATCCCCAGTACCAAAAAAAAAAAAAGTCAATATCCAATTAATTAGCCCATATACATGCATTAGTGAGAATTAGAATAAGCTATTTTCAACCCTAAYCTACTGCCTCTCAACTACAAGTTCATCTTCTTATATTTTGTTCAATGATGCAAGGCCTGAGAATCTGCAAACTATATATCCCAGACTCAACTGCCAAGATGGTTTCCAGGTTAACTTCTGCCAATAAGAAATAGCCAGGTGCAGTTGGAAAGTAGAAGATAGGAATAAGGGAATGCATCCCAAGTACAAGCTATATCACAATTGCTAAGAAATWCTAATACCAATTACATCCTCCAAGAAGCACAGCCATCAATCATACAGTGCCCTCCTCTAGTTCAGAGTTGGGATGTCATTTCAAAAGTGAAGAACTAACCAAATGTCCTCTCCTAACAGTTCCTTCCAAACTTTAGCTGCTCTGAGTATCCTCAGGAGTCTAAGCAACCAGATGTGCACCCCTCTTCAGAGGTCCCACACAGTTCCTCAGATTCCTTTTGAGTTCCTAGATTCTGGTAACAACACTTCTAATTTATTTTTCATGTTCCAGTGGTTTTAGCTCCTTCCTCTATCTTGGTTACTTCAATGTATCCTTTTCGTTTTTTCAGACTTCTAACTCRATATAAACCAGTTCTCTGCATTAAAACCTCTTTGAAAAGCCTAGCACCTTTAGGTTTTCCAGCTGGGATTCTTCTATCTTTGATAGGCTAGTTAGTCTTTGCATAGTTTTGAGGAGAATAGTAATTTCTCTCTGACTATASTTTAAATTCTCAACAGATAGGAGTAATGTATTGAAAACTGATAGCAATGCAAATAGTTTCTGTCCACAGTTATGCAGATGTTCCTGTTAGTGTGCAAATGAACTGTCCCCTAAAGATCTTAAGACCCTAAATCAAATAGTCATTTTGATTAATTGTAATATCTTACTGGTTAATGAGTTACACACATTGTCTAAGAYATGTTCATTTTTTTCAGCTTTATATTTTTTTAATGTTTCATTCATTYATTTATTTTGCACTACAATTCTTAATACACCATTATACAATAATTTAACATATCTCTTATTATATATAAGGTATGTTGACACCAAATTCACATCTTCATACATGTATTTGATATGTTCATTTTTATTTACATGTATAGGATAAACAAAAATAAAATTTTCTTCATTTAAAAAGAAGATGCAGCTGACACTCCCTTCCTCTCAGGGTATTTCCTTGAAAACATAATAGGTCCAACACTTTGRTCAGAATAAATAAACCTTGTATCTGGATTTCACAATGAGAAATCATAAACTTTCCAACCTTGGGAACTGTAAATAATTACTCCCTAAATCCTAACACAGGAATCTCTTAGGRTGTATACAGAAGACTATCGCAGGGAACATCTCTAAAGAAGATAAAAGAAAGTTTAAGTATTCTTTATTCCACTTTTCTATAAGAAAAATGTGTGATTCTGCCTAGACTTCACAGTCTCTCCTGGACAGCCTGCATACATCTAACCTGATGTACAGGTTCAATAATAATTCGAGGTTTCTATGTCTGTACGGGTATGGAGGACAGAGATATGACAGTTCTGGTCATCTTTTAAAAAAAACTGTCTTACATGAACTCTAAATAGAGCAGAAGGATTGGAGGGGAAGAAAGGAAGCATGGGGTAATTAATGATGGTGAAATGTGATAATCATTACTATCCATGTATGAAGACACGAATTGGTGTGAATATACTACATATACAACCAGAGATATGAAAAATTGGCTCTATATATGTAATAAGAATTATAATGCATTCTGCTGACATATAAATTTTAAAAACTTACATAAAAAACTGTCTTAAAATTACAAGAGTATTTATTACATAATAACATAGAGTATCTTTTTTTATAATTCCAGGTAAAATATTCCAAAAAATAAAGTAATAATTTGCTAGRCACAGTGGCACATGCCTGTAATCCCAGYACCTCTGGARGCTGAGGCAGGAKGATTGCGAGTTCAAAGCCAGGCTCAGCAACAGCAAAGCACTAAGTAACTCAGTGAGACTCTGTCTCTAAATAAAATACAAAATAGGGCTGGGGATGTGGCTTAGTTGTTGAGTTCTCCTGAGTTCAATCCCTGGTAGCCCCCCACACCAAAATGAGTAATAATTTAAGACAGAAAGAATAAAAAAGACTGTGTTACAGTCTATAMTTGATGATAAAATGATTAATTCTAACCTCTATATTACCTTTTARGTGACAATAGATTTGGCAATGTCAAAAATGTAACCTTTCATATATATATAAAAGTGTGTTGGCAATGTAGCAAAAAAATTTGACAACTTGGAACAATGTTATATCTCAATGAAATAATAAGACAAATATCTTCTGAAAGCAAGTTAAGTAAGAACATACTAGAGAACGACCTAGTCAAATATAAGGAGTATGTATGGGTTACATTTTAATTTTATGTTTTTTAAAGTAGTACATTATGATATTAATATTAAGGTAGATTTAACATTAAAATTTCTTTGCTTTGTGTTGATACCAGGGGGCTGAAACCAGAGGCATTTAACCACTAAGCCACATCCCCAGGCCATTTTATTGTTTTGAGACAAGGTCTCAGTAAGTTGCTTAGGGCCTCACTAAATTGCTGAGGATAGGTTTGAATTGAAATCCTCATATCTCAGCCTCCTGAGCTGCTGGGATTATAGGTGTTCGCCACCACACATAGCAAAATTTATTTTAACAAGTTAATATTAACTATATATATATAATTTTCAGTAAAAAAAAATAAACTTTTACCATCTTCCTAGCAATTCTCCCCAAGAGTACAGAATCTTCTCAGGACAATCCTTAGACACATCACCTGTTCCACTTGAGAGTTCATTATCACTCTCTGAAAAAAAAAAAAACACAAAATCAAAACCAACAAACATTGCATTATGTATTACAGTAGATATTTACATACTATAAAACAAGAAGCACAACTAAGTGTCTAATAAACAAGGCAAACAATATTGTAAAAATTACACTAAAACCTCATTAATGTAATCTATCTTTAGTGCACAAATATTTTCAAAAAAATTATGTAATTCTCATCCATATTTATATAGTATGAAACTGAAAATATTTATAATAAATAGCTTTATCAAAAGACAGCAATCTTTTAAAAGTTTATGGGGTATCAGCAAGATGGCAGAGTAAGAAGTCTTGGGCCCCCTTCCTCCCTACAGAARACAATGATCCATAGACTAGAAAACCCCAACACCTGGAAATAAGCCTGAGACACCTATGTTACACAGAACTGAACAAATCAAATTAGAAAAGAAAAAGAGGAACAGTATCACTGTGATTGTCCCACCCTTTCCCTCTTTCCCAAGTGGGCATATCTTCAGATAGAGAGGAGTTTCCTGGGTTTACAACTTCTACAGGAGGAAAAAGAACCAGAAGCAGTCATCCAGTTTCCCTAGCATTCCCAGATGCTTCTCAGGGGACCCATTCCAGTTCAGTTCAATGAGGAGAAATACAATGGCTTTATCGACCAAGGGATTGGGTGGAAACAAAGAGTGCACAACTGCTGGTGGCATATTTATGTTCCTGCCAACTACAGCACACAATCAGAGACAATGGCCAACCTCAAGGCAAACCTGCAAGATAAAGCTAGTCACCTTCAGAAGAACACTGAGAAAAATAATCTATCTTGAACCCCTGGACCACTGGTCTTCACATCTAGCCTGAGAATCACCCTTATAATACTGCCCAAGCAGGGAATCTCCTACCTTTATGGATTTCAAAGAAGCAAAGGGGCTAAAATGGCTTGACCCATGGGCAAATAGCTGGTTCACATAGTCAAACTGCCTATCCAATAAYCCCATCCAGGAAGGGAGACTCCAACCTCCACTGATCTCAAGAGAAGAAAGGAGCTACACTAGCTTGACCTAGGGGGGAAGCAGTGGCAGACTTCAGCCAAAATTCTACCCAGTCGGGGAGACTTCCACCTCTGTGCTTTTTGGAAAAACACAAGGGCTAGAACTGCTTGATCCAGGAAGTCCAACAGCCACTCAGCTCAGCCAAAAGCCCATCCCACAGCTCCCACCCCCTCCAAGACAGGAGAGCTATGTTCAATCATGTATATCTAAGGAACATAGTATTGGGTCCCTCTTGTTCAAAACAACAATTCTATCCAACCTCAGTGCACAACTAACACACCTGCCAACTGTAGATCCCAAATAGCATGGGAATACATTTTGTGATCAGCCTAACAAGAAACAATAACAATACCCAGCCAATTAGGTCCAACTGATAGCAGAGCCTGCTAGTAGTTCCATCCAATATCCAATCAAAAGCATGGGGTGAGACAACTAAAGAACTCATATCAAGCTCCWCATGCCTAGGGTCATCACCAGATGGACCTATCCAAAATCACAGACTAGACTAAAAAGCAAAGTTGTATCCCTGCCAATGAGTACATGTAAAGGTCAGAAGAAGGACTGTCTTGTCAGATGCGTGAACAACCATGCAAGGACAGGAGGATTATGAAAAATCAGGGAATAATGACACCTCCAAAAGAAACTGATAAAGCTCCAATAATAGAACTAAAATAAATGGAAACCTATGGAATTACCAACAAATAATTCAGAATAGTCCTCATTTAGATCAAATTTTAAAAATTAATTGTTAAAAAACAAAGTCCACTAAACTACAAGAAAACGCAGATAGAAAATTTAACGAAACTTGGAAACAAAACATGAAAAAAGCAAGAATACTGCCACACACACACACCAAAAAAAAAAAAAAACAGAAACTCTAAAAATGAAGAATACAATCACTGAACTAAAAAAAAAATCAACAGAAAGCTTCAATAGCAGAATCTATTAAGCAGAACAATCAGTGAGATGGAAGACAGAACATTTGAAATTATTCAGAGAAGCAAAAAGATAAGAGAGTGAAAAGGAATAACAACAAAAAAACTGTAAGAATTATGAGACATCATCAAGAGACCAAACCTTCACATAAAAGGAGAAAAGCTCCAGAAAAAAGCAACAGAAGGCATATTGGAAGAAATTATGATTGAAGACACCTCTAATGTGGGGATAGATACAGGTACAGGAAGGACAGAGTTTTCCAGTCAAATTCAACCCAAAATGAAGTATACCAAGAAATAAAATACACAAAGGTAATTGTGTTCCTCTGATAGATCCAGTCTTTAGTTATAAAGCTTCAATAGCARAATCTATTAAGATTCATTCACCATRCCCAGKGAAATTCATTCCAACAAATAAAAGCCCAGGACGGGTGGCTTCACTAATAAATTATACCAAATATTTAGAGAAGAATTCCTCTAAATGAGTTCTACTCAAACTGAGTTGTGTAGGTTAAGTCATACAGGGATGACTTAACAGAAATTAATAAATGTGATATACCACATTAACAGAATGAAGGAAAAACACAATGTGATCATTCCAACAAATGCAAAAAAAAAAGCATGTGACAAGATTTAACACATTAAACCATCCATATATTAGGTATAAGAGAAATTAATGTACCCCAACACAATAAAGGCCATATATGGCATTACACAGGTAACATCACATTCAACAAAGAAAAGTTCAAAGCTTTTTCTGATCTTGAAAAAGAAAAGAATGCCTGCATTCTCCACTTCTGTTCAACATAGTACTGGAAGTCCTAGCCCAAAACAACTAGGCAAATGAAGGGGAAAAGCATACAAAAGCCAGGAGCAATGATACACACCTACAATCCCAGCTACTCAGAAGCCTGCTGTAGGAGGCTATGAATTCAAGGTCAGCCTGGGCAACACAGGGAGAACCATTTCCTTTCTTTCTTTCTTTTTTTTTTTTTTAAAGAAGAAAGGCAGATAAATGGGAAAGGAAGAAGTGAAATTATCCCTGTTTACAGATGACATGATCTTAAAGATTAAAAAAAATGGAGTCTTAGGGTTTATTAACTGTTAGAATGAAAAAATTAAGAAAAATCACAGGATATAAAATCAACATACAAAWATCAATAGAAATCAGGAAGAAGACAATACCAGTTATAATATCTACAAAAAATAAAATACTTAGGAATAAATTTAACCAAGGAGGCAAAAGATCTATATTCACTGAAAATTATAAAACATAGATGAAAGAAATTGAAGAAGATACAAATACATGGAAATACATCCCATACTCAGGATTGGAGAAATCAACATTGTTAAAATGTCCATATTATGCAAAGTAATCTACATATTTAATGCAATTCCTACAACACATACCAATGGCATTCKTCACATAAATAGAAAAAAAATTCTAAAATTCTTATGGACCCACAAAAGACCCCAAATAACCAAAGCAACCTTGAGAAAAAAAGAACAAAACTGACTATCTGATTTCACACTACATGACTTTAATATATGCTACAAAGCTACAGTAACCAAAACAGCATGGGCATAGAAACAGATGCATAGCCCAATGGAATGGGCTATTCATTTTGAGAGAACCCAAAAATGAATCCATGCATTTACAGCCAAGGGATTTTCAACATGCCAAGAATACAAAAAAAGAGAAAAGATTAGTATTTTCAATAAATATTGCTGAGAAAATTGTCCATCCATATGCAGAAGAATAAGCTGAAACTCTTTCATCATATACAAACATCAAGTTAAAAGGGATTAAAGACTTAAACGAACCTGACCCCTTGCCTCATTTGAATAGCTTCTCCTCAATAAAAGGGGTCAGTGCATGCTGTCTCTCTCTTTCTTCCTACAGACCCTTAAGGTCAGAGGAACCGTCACAACGACCCCAAAGAAAAAGGAAAAAAAAAAAGAGACTTAAACGTAAGACCCCAAATGGTAAAATCACAAGAAGAAAAAAGAGGAAATACTCCATGACATTGAACTAGGCAGGGATTTTTTTCATAGTATCCAAAAGAACAGGAAACAAAAAGCAAAAATGGACAAAAGAGTCTACATCAAACTAAAAAGTTTTTGTGTGGCAAAGGAAACAATCAAGAGTGAAAGAAAACCTTTAGAACTCGAGAAAATATTTCAAACTATGTAACTGACAAGGGTTAATGTCCTGAATATACAATGAATACAAACAACTCAACAGTAAAAACAAAAACAGCAATCTGATTTTAAAATAGCAGAAAGACCAGAATACACAATTCTTAAAAGAAAACAAATAGCCAGTGAGTATATGAAAAAAGCAAATCAAAACTAAAATGAAATATTAACTTACCCTAATTAGATTGACTATTATCAATAGGACACACATACATACAAAGAGAGAAAAATAAAAACCAAAGCTTGCATGATGCAAAGAAAGGGGAACTCCCATACATTAATGGTAGGAATGCAAATTAGTATAGCCACTATGAAAACTGGTTTGGAAGTTCATCAAAAAATTAAAAATGGGGGYTGGGGATGTGGCTCAAGCGGTAGCGCGCTCGCCTGGCATGCGTGCGGCCCGGGTTCGATCCTCAGCACCACATACAAACAAAGATGTTGTGTCTGCCGAAAACTAAAAAATGAAATATTAAAAAAAAAATTTWAAATGTAGCCATGCAGCTATCTCCTCAAAGAATTATTTTGCTGAATTCCCAGTCTAAAAGTAGATGCAAAATCACTATACCAATGGAATAATTTAAWTTATCTAAATGGAACATTTGTTCCTCGTGTTTTTCTTTTTTTTTATTTTTTGTAGTTATAGATGGAAAGAATGCCTTTATTTTATTTTTTTACTTTTATGTGATGCTGAGGATKGAACCCAGTGCCTCATGCATGCTAGGGAAGCTCTCCACCACTGAGCCATAGCCCCAGCCCTGTTTTTCTTGATTATTATTTGTTATCTCTCCCCCAGTAAGMAGCAGAGAGAATTTAATTATCTGGTTATGCCA